TACCCACGAGCTACTGAGCCAGAATCCCCAGCTCTAGCAGAAGCCCCAGGCGATGCGTGTCTGCATGTTGACCGTGAGAAGCCTTGGGTGATGTAATCACACCACCCCACAACCCTCAGGAGACTCATGATGACTGTTTGTGAGACTGTAATTATTCTGAGGAGCCTGTTGATGTCTCCAGGCTAGTCCATCACCATTCCCGGACAGGAGCCTGGGAAAGGACTAGGTAAAAAGCATGCCAATGCTGTTCTACTGCTCCTTGTACGAAGAGGGTACAAATTTGACAAAGAAACAAACATCGAATAAATCAGAGTCCTGGAGGACAGATATCATTACAGGCAAAAGCAGCCTATGACATCAGTGTTGTGGAACTAAGACAACCAAAATGGGGCACAGTTTTACCTTAGGTCACCTCCTTTAAGACTTCATAAATGACATCTGGTTGTAACTATAAAATGGTATACACACATGCATTCCCATGTGCAGTAAAAGGCCAAGTTTCTGTCATAATATGCTTCCTACTACAAAACGATTAGGATGCTATGACTATGAAATAACAAGATTTACATTAGTTCATTCATTTTAAGTCAACTGTCACTTGGTAGTGGCCACTGCCCTTCAGCTATAATTTTCTCTAGTTCTGTTCCCTGATTATCTTTCAGCAACTTTGTAACAAGGTTGAAAAGTACAAAATGCATTACTAAAATTATCCATTGTGGCGATTCCCATTTGCTCCGCTGAATCGTAAAACAGTGTTATTTGGTCAAGATTCTGTGGCTCTGCTTGGATGCCATGTGGTGTAGACAATGGAAGCCAGTTGCCTGGATCCAGTCCTGCTTTGCCACTTACTCAGTGTGTGACTTGGATTTTTCCAAGTCTCAGTTTCCTCATCTGTTAGATGGAGGTGAGAACTGTGCTTATCACAGAAAGCGGTTATGGGGATTCAGAGCGTGAGCACATTTAAAGCACTCGAACACAATGTCTGGAACATGTTAAATATTATGTATTTGCTCTCTCACTGTTGTTACATTACAGCTCAGTATCACCAGAGGCCTACAAGTTTCACTGGCAATCACTCTTGGGGCAATGGGCAAAGGAAAACATGTCAGTTGCACTTCATTCAAATATCACTAGCAGGAAAGGTCACCTGCTGACAATTGGGAAATTGCCAAATATTTGTTCCTTTGATGCTGCATGTAAAGAAACCAATAAGGCCAGGTGGTCTCCGCAAGGTAATTAACAAAATGATTGCGCTGAGCTTTTTTAATGTCAGTAATCCAAAATAATGCCTTACAATTTAAAAATCTTCTATAAACATTTGTAGATGAATTGTTTTTTTCCTCCCCCTTTGGTTTCAAGATGGCCTAATTTAAAATCAACAAGCATTACCTTCTCATGCCAACTGAACTGGACCCAAAGAGTGCTATAACCTAGCTAGCATGGAAATCATTTTATTTTTATCAAATTGTAGCAAGGTAATCATCCCCTCCCAGTGCTGTACGTTTTTATACAAGAGGAATTGTTATCTAGGGCAAAAATACAATTCTGTCTCTCAGAAGCTCACGGCCTATGGAGCACACATTATAACAAATTTACCATTCATTTATTTTTCTACTTTCTGACCCTTAGGGAAGATAACCACCTCCCTATGTGTTCTGCTGATTGTTTTACAGCAAGTAGAAATTCTGATAAATCATCTTCACAGTCCAAACTCAAAAGCTAAAGCCATCACTCTCACTTTCCCTATGGGATAGTTTTAATCTTTATATTATATGGTTATTTATCAAGGAAAAAACTGTGCCTAACAAAATTCAATAATTGCTTATTGAATGAAGAAAATCTTTTTTAAAAATCATAAAAAATGCACCTGCTCTTATTCTGAGCCAGTTTAACCCAAAGTTAAATGTTATCAGTTAGACAAAAGGGCATTACCTCTCATGAAAAGCATGTAATCATGTTGCTTCAAATACCTAATTCAGATATTTCACACTAAAATTTGGCTTTACTAAAAAAATATGGTCAAACTTCTAAATTACCAAATGGTGTTCTGAATACTGTGAGGTTTATAATCAAATGAAAAGAAATTTCAGCAAAAATGTTACAAATTTATTTTTGTGTACATAATTTCCAGTTAATAAGATTCCATGACTATATTACTTCGATTGGAGCTTAATACATTGGTCAATCAACTAATTAGTAAATTCTGTCAATTTATTCTCCATTTATCTTTATATTGAAACAAACTTCAATATAGGACAATACCAGGCCAGCCACATAACCTAGCGGCCCTTGTAAAAAAAAAAATGGGTATTTGAGCAGTTAGGTAAATACAATGCTGTATTCCACAGAAACCACAACTGAACATGGTGTAATAGGATGAGCCTCTTCTAGATATATGTCACATATATAAGAAGGTGGGCATCACTTTTTGATAAGAAAATGTGGAATTTATTTTTAAGAAAACATAGGCAGTTAAATATATTTGCTCTTCCTGTAATTAGTGGCTATATTGATATAGTCAAATGGTTTGTTTGATCCCAGTTGATTATCCAGTGTTCTACAAAATTCTATCAATAGGAGACCATTTCTCTTATGGGACTGACTTGAGTGTCAGTAGTTATATCAAAGTAACTCTCAGCTGTATCAGATGTTATCCAAGTCAGGCAGCCACCTTGCCTGAAAGCTCAGAGGATAAAATTCACAGCTGCTCTAGTCACTTACATAAAACAGTGCGGTATTTGCATAAAAATTATGAATCTCCTCCTGTAAATTTGAAAATATCTCTAGATTATTTATGATATCTAACACAATGCAAATGCTATGCAAATAGTTGTTATATTCTATTGTTTAAGGAATAAATGACAAGAAAAAGATGTCTGAATGTGTTCTGCACAAATGCAATTTTTTCCAAATATTTTTAAACTCCAATGTCCTCATTTTTTTTAACACAAAGATAACAATGACATTGTATTAGCTTTCTGTTGCTGTGACAAAATACCTGAGAACATCAACTTCAAAAGAGAACGTATTTTGGCTCCAGAGGTTTCAGTTCTTGGTCACGTGGCTCTACTGTTTCTGGGCTGTGGTGAGGCCGGATCATAGTGGAGAACGAATGTATGGTAGAGCAGAGCTTCCCCTCACTGTGGCCAGGGAGCAGAGACAGTGCAAGGAAGGAAGGAGGTAGGGCAAAGATATGGTCTCCAAAGGACCCACTCCCTTCAATTAGGTCTCACTTCCTAAGTTTCCATCACCTCCCCCATAGCCCATCAAATTATTTACCCAGCAGTGGAATAGAGCACTCCTGATCCCATCACTTCCCAAATTCTCACTACTGAAAATTGCTGCACTGGGGACCAAGCCTTCAGCACATGAGCCTTTATGGACATTTCAGATCCAACCCATAAAAAGTGTATACTTCATAAGGTTACAAGAAGAATCAAATTATATAATAAATGTAAAGTGTCTAGCATATTGGCTCACACCTAATAAGTGCACAAAATGTGGGTTATATGAGGAATAAGTTTCACCTTAGGAGACAGGAGTTACAGCCCGGAGCTAAAGAAATTGCTTTCAGGTGAAATTTGTGAGATTTCAGACACAAGCAATATTGCCTGGGGGCGGAGAGGGAAAATCAGATTGAGGGCTCAGGAGAGGGATAATCTCTGCACCCCCTGCTCCAGCACAGCGAGGCCTGGGGAGTTCTGGTGAGATTCCTGGTCTTATGGTTTTGAGAGCATCAGGGAGCTAACAGTCTCACAAGAAGTACCTTTCTTTCATGTTTATTTCTTTTAGGAAACAAACACCAAGGTGAACAGAAGAGAGGAATATACTGGTCCTGAGTAGATGTGAGAAACAAAAAATGACCAGAAATGATTGGATTGGACAAGATCATGCTGTGTACCACATTTGTACACCAACAGGCTGGTAAGAACTGGAGATGTTTACTTTATTCATATTTAAATATAACAATAGAAGGCAGAGCATAGGAAGGGTAAAGAAAGTAGCCAAGATAAAGGACACTGCAAGGTTTAGGGCAGAAAGAAACCAGTGTGAGACAGGACAGCCAGAGATCTGGAGCATCACCCAGCCTTTGCAGACTGGAAGAGGCCACATTGTCTGGGGAAGGTCTTTTAAGCAGGAAAAATGGACAAGCCAACGTGTACTTCCTCCACCAAAGGTGTGCTTCAGTGACAATGAATGGAAAAGGGCTGGTGGGTAGGTGATATGTGGGAGAAAAGGTTGGCAAACTAGACGTGGGTTATTTTGAATGGTGAAAGGGCCTGAATTTGATCCTGCAGGTGATGGGGAGCTAGAGAAAACTAGTGATTGAGAAGACTCATCTGGATTGGTGTATAGTGTAGAACAGAGGTATGAAAATGGTTAGAAGACTCTTCAGAGAAGTCGGCAAGCAATGGGCTATAATTTATATTGACATAATATTACCACTTTCTAAAATAGCATTTACAGAGAAAAAAGAAAGTCTAATTAAAGAAGTATGGTCATCCATTACTCCTCAGTTTCCATCATAATTCTCTCCTGATTTACTTCTCCAGGCCCCAATGGATATTGTTGTAAGCTACAGTTTGCTCACCTACAAGCTACATAAGCACTCTTTCAGACATGCTCAAACTTCTACTGCTGCTCTAATGCAATCCCTCTCTGTCTCTTCATTTATTTATTGGTTAATTCATGCTTGTGCTTTAGAAATTATCTTAGGCATTTCAAATCTTGAATATTGATACATTTCTATTTAATGGTAGTTTTGATAGAACAGTGTCAAACAAAATATTATGTTCCCTCATTCACAAAATGAGGGAAAAAACAATCAAATAGGTTGGTAATGCGAGTCAATAGTTTGCCTGCCACTGACCTTGTGGGCTACTGATATATGTGGTTGACTTACATCCTTATGCCAGTATTTGAGAAGGATAAAAAGTGTCATTCAATTCGAGTCATAACTGGGTTTTTCAAGGACATTCTTCTTAACTACAAATACTCACTTGAGCTCTTCAACAAGATTCTCGGTAAAAGGCCATCATTACACAGTAGGGTTTCCAGAAGAAGGTTCCAGTTACAACCTGGCTGGGATAAGAGCAGTTTCAATTGACCCTCAGCATTCAGTCCTCCAGCTGATGGCGTCCTTTCAAAATGCAAGATAAAGATGGAGTAATGAGGTTAATTTATCTATGAAATTAATAGCCTTAAAGTACAGATGTAATGCTAACTCCTTTAAATGTCAATTCCTCCCAGATTACTCTGAAAATGCTTTCGTGCTTGCTTACTTTAGGATTGCTCAGGGAAGGAATTACATTTAATCTCAACTAGCTAAAAGCAAATTAACACTTGGTAGCCTGCCAAATTTAAAACTGATACAAAATAACCATGCCTAATACCGTGTCTATTTTTGTTTCATGAAGAAAAGAAAAATCATTTATGCATTGATTTTGAATGTCTTTATTTGTTCATTCACCAAAACATAATGAGTACCTACTATGTGCTACTAACTCCTTTTGTTATTTATGGAAAGAAGTTACAATAGGTTTTGGCTTCTTTGTAATTTGCTTATTCAAACTTCTGTCAAGGGTCAACCATAATCTAATTATTTTAATATACAAAGCCTTAAATCAACTTGCAATTATCAGAACTGCTACTAACAGTCACCCTGCTAGCTACTTAAGTGATCATTTCATCAAAGAGAAATAATTCCAAGGTAAATAAGTTTCTACTTGCAAAATTGTCATCAGTGTTGAAGAGAAAATCAAAATTAGGTCCCCCATGTCACCACTTTTATTTATCTGTGTATCAGCAGGCTATCAGAAAGTAAAGTAGGAATTGAAAACTGATAAAATTATGGCAAATTAACTTACAACAACAACAAAGACAGGAAATAGTCTAACACTGTCGGTGGCAGCCACAAAGATTGTAAGTATAGGGTGGCATTGGGAAGGAAGAATATGAATGGAGAAATGCAGAGGTGTGACTAGAAGGATCATGTGCTTCAAAGGGAACAGAGAGAGAGGGAGAAAGGGGAGAGAAAGAGAGAGAGAGAAAGAGAGAGGGAGAGAGAATGCAGTGGGTATTGCCAAGAAACCATGTGCAGCACTGTTGTTAGCAATGGCTCCCTGAGTGGTGACCTCGTTTTTAAGGTTTGCACACCAGACCAGCAGCATCAGCAAGTGAAATTACTTGAGTTTCATCCCATCAGAAATTCTGGAGATGGCTCCCAGAAATTTGTGTCTTAACTAGCTGAGTTTCAAAAAAAAATTCTAATGTATGCCAAGGGAGTGCTCTCTGGAGCAAGGGAGAACCAGAACCATAGCCTCTTCTTTCATGCCTCCAGGCCTTTGCATTACAGGTCAACTTTGCAATGGACTTAATGTCTGTATTGCCCCAAATTTCATATGTCAAAAACCTAATTTCAATGTGATGTCTTCTGGAGATGGGCTCCTTGGGAAGTAATTGGGTCAGGAGGGTGGAGCCCTCATGAATGGGATTAGTGTCCTTTTAAGATGAGGCCTGAGGTTAGGTATAGTAGCTCATGTCTATAATTCCAGCTTCTCAGAAGGGGAAGCTCAGAAGGATCACAGTTTGAGGGCAGCCTGAGAAAAAAGTTAGGAAGACCCCATCTCAACTAACAAGTCAGACATGGTTGCATATGCCTGTGGTCCTGTGATCCCAGTCATGTGGGAGATACATATAGGAGGATTGTAGTCTGAGGTTGGTACCAGACACAAATGTGAGACCTTATCTGAAAAAGGGCTGGGGGCATAGGTCAAGTGGTTGAGTGCATGAGGCCCTGAGTAAAAGTCCAGTACCACCAAAAAAAAAAAAAAGCCAAAGAGCTAACTTGCCCTTTTTCCACCATGAAGAACAAATTGGCTGTTGGCGACCTGGAAGAAATCCCTTATTAGAACCTCATGTTGGACTTCCAGCCAACATTGGAAATTAATGCCTGATGTTTATGCCATCAGTCTATGTCATATTCGATACAGTAGTTGGAGCTAAGACACTAATTCATCCAATGAACTCCCTAGAACCCTTTCCCTTTATCTTAATCCCAACCCAACAGTTAATTAGTAGCAAAAAATCCCACTTTCTCAGAAAAGTCTTCACTAGAAATTTCTCTTCATAGTGGTCTCTCTTATTTAGAATTAAAACATGGCAAGTATACACAGTTTAGCACTTTATTATTACGTCGATTAAAAGTTTATCTCTTCACCCAGATTCAAGCCTCCTGAGAATATACTTCCTAAAGCTTCTACCACTGAACAAAGTATAGTTAATGGGTCTATAAATGTTAGCTGATTGACTTACCTGCATATAAGTGGGTAGGCAAAGTCTTCTTAAAAAGAAAAGAAAGGACACTTTGCCAAAAGGCTGATTTTAAGCAAAAAGAGAAGCTTTGAAGATACAAATGAAGAAATTTCAAAGCACTTCTCCCTTGACTTGGCATTTGTAACGTTTCATAGCCTTGTGAAGTACAAAATCCTTCAGGCTGCCTTTGAACTTTGGACTAACTCAGCATTCCAATGAGGAGCTCTGATAAAATAGCTGGAAACAGGATGACTCCTTGGGCACCTGGTGGGCAGTGTTAGATGGGTAACTTCTGCCGTGGGGGTGGTGAGGAGAGAGGAGAGGAGTTAGAGTTACTTAACCCTCACGCTAAGGAATCAAGTGCACCACTTCAGAGCATCCCAAGAGTACTCAATTACTTTCCTGTATTGGTCTGCTTCTTGCAGAGTTCCAAAAATGGTGCCAAAAGACACAGTGGCCATCTCTACTTCTTCCAGAACTTCAGGTGCTGACGTCTAGAAGGAACTTTAGGGCACAGTGGATGAAAATAGGTAGCAGTAAGTTGTGTATTAGAACTGATTTGCTGTTCGAACACTTCTTACCTTCATATTATGCTTCAGTTAAATGCTGATCTAAGGCTACAAGTGAAAGACTGAGTTTGGCTGAACTGTAGGGAGGTGGATCTTCGAGATACAGTCTGAAGAAGGAGATAGCAGCTGGATCATGGACGGCCTTATTATCCCAAGGTGGGGATTTTGAACCTGTTGAAGAGTTTGTGTGTGTGTGTGTGTGTGTGTTTTAAGGCAGAGGAGTTTCCTGATCCATTTGCAGTGTGGAGAATGGATTGGAGGCGGTTATTGTTTTTACTCAACCCTTCAGTCATGTAATGAAACAAACCAATTTGAATGTCATTTCTTTCCACTGTATCAGAATACCTGGTTATAAATAAAATCTCTCATTTACCAGATGGGAAGCTGTTTGTTGAAATGTACCTCAATTCTCGGATCTTTCCACTTATCACAGATTTTGAAATGTACAGTGGAATGACTCATGATGAGGAAAAATAAAATTGTACAAACATTCCTCAATCACCAATAAATGCATTGAGGAGTCTGTGTCGGGCATATGGAAAAGCATATGTTTCCTCATCCTTTGAGCTGGTAGAGCTGTGAAAGTGAGATTAGCCTCAAAAGATGACAGAAAGGGAAATTTTATATATATGTATGTATCAAATATGTACATGTTGAATTCCACTATGATACAAAGAGAACAAAATTTTACAAACCCAACAGAAGTTATGCATCTTGTATTGGAAGACTGCATGAATTTATGGCTGAGCTGAGTTAAGATCATATTCTAATAAATTCTATACTTCTGAGGCATAATTTTGCCTAAGGATTTTTCAAATCCAGGTAGTAATGAGGTTCAACCTTATTGATGTACGAAACTAACGAACTGTGTCTATAGAATCATCATGAAAAATCTTAACTCCATTCATCAAGTAGTTCACTTATAATTTCTGCAGTTTTTGATTTGTACTCATACTATACGAAGAATGTTTAGGAAAAAGAATCTTAGCTACATCAGTGAGTACTCTGTTGACTTCCAACTCTACTGTAAGGCCCAGGCCAAGAGAATGAGTCATAGGAGGTTCAGACTTTGACACGAGCTGACTTACTGCTCAAATCACATAACAATGGGGTTCATTTATCCTACATATATAAATCACAGAGAAGCTGCTAGACTAATAGAACATTAGGATGGAGTCTAAAATGCACAGTTTTGGGATTACATGCAACGATATTGGGGCACTGTCCTTCAGGATTTGATATTTACTTTGAAGCAACGAGTGAACTTTTGGTCCTAACAGATGAACTACATGGGTCTACAAACCAGGAGGTGAAAAGTAAAAGGGGCCCCTCACACCAAAGCTACTGATGATCCACTTAGCAAATATGTTTTCTTTCCCATAATCCCCTACAGACTGTATAGAAGGGGAGGCCTTGGTTCCCATGGTAAGATGGGGTGTACACACCTCTAACAGGGGACCATTTAGCGTTCCACCAAACCTAAAATTACAGTTGCTATTAGGTCATTTTTGGCTCCCCATGTCAGGAGTCTATCAGGCAACAAAAGGAGTAAGTATATTGGCAAGGGTAATAACCCCAATTACCATAAGGAGCGAGGGTTGCTGCTGCGTGAGATGAGCAGGGAAAGGACCTGTGAGCAAGGTGATTCATTAAGGCATCTCTTGAAACTTTCATGACTGATAAGAGCCATATACAAGAGACTGCAATCTGATAAGAGAATGGTAACCAGGGTTTTAACTCATTGCAGATGAAAGTCTTAGTGATTCCACTGGGTAACCAACATAAATCAGCAGACCTGATGGCCACTGGTGAGAGGAAGATGGAATAGGTGGTGAAAGGATGTGATGATAAGCATCACCTACAGACTCAGAAATAACTGCAGCAGGGAGTGCTCTAGCTTGTCTCACTAACTTATCCATATTAAACTGAAAAAAAAAGATATTGTGACCAGTTGTCACCTGGAGGAATCATGATAGGACTCAGAACTAAACACGAGGAAGGAGTGATCTCAGTGGGGCAGGGGTTGACCATAGACGATGCTGTTAATGGCCGTACATCCTCTCAGTTCAACTGGACTAACCAAGGGAGGATGGATGCTTAGAACTCGCATTTCTCTACCTTCCAGCTAGACAGACTGTTAATGCCAGGGAACTAAAACCTCTGTGGCAGCTCTCAACCAATGACTGGTGGGATTTGAAGTAAAAATCCCTCAGCATCCTTGCTCCTTTACTAGAATGACTTGAAAGATACATTTTTA